CTCAAGGACATCGTGCAATGTGAATACAATGCAATAAAACAAACAAAAAATAAAGCAAAGAATAAAATAACAAAAAGACATCATAGTTTGCATAACAAGTAACAAATAAAACATTGTATAAAACAAAACATCCTACAAAAAGTAGGGTTAATTGGAGATGGTGATTAAACTGAATAAGCTGTTTAAAGAGAAGAGTTTTAATATGTGATTTTACAATGGAGACAGAGTTTTTGATGTCCAGTTATGCAACATGTGTGCAATGTACGGTGGTCAACGTGTTAAAACAATAATTTTGATCTTTTAAAGTGAAGTTCTGTTGAGAAGTTATGAACAACTAATATCTTACCTGTTGTAGGTAGCAGTTTGAATGACCTCTGTTTGAAAAAATACACTTTAATTGTGACTGAAACTATGAGCTAGTGGCTACTATGTGTGCAGCCAAGACCATATTTGAATGCTGACATTTTAAAACAATTCTGGTCTTTAAGGATTCATAGCAGTTTCTGCAAGGACCACAGAATTTAATATTTATTTTAAAATGCTGTCAACTTTACATTTCATGGTTATTTACATAGCAGTCTGTGGTTACAATTATCTTTTCCCGAAACCTAACTTCAAATGAGCTGAGCTATCACTTAAGCTTTGTTTTGTTTTTCAGGACAGCTTCTGTGGTTACTTATGAAAGACAGATTGAGGAAATAACGTCATTTTGTATTTTTCTTTTTCCTAAAAACACAAACATGTACTTCTTCATATCACTATACTACCTCTGAGCTTTATTTTGAATTCCAAACTGTCTAAATATTTTAACTTTGTCCAAAGTGATGGAAATCAAGATGAGCGACATTTCATCTTATTTGCTTACCAAAGCAAAGTTTTCTACCTCTCGTGAGGATAAATCATAGGTCTTGTTTAAACACACTTTATCCTTAAATGATTTATTGTAAACTTTATTTTTACCCCCCAAAAGTAAGAGTTTCTGTCACCAAAATAACAACACACACAGTAGAATAGAGCACATAATGATGTCTTTATTTTATCTAAGTAACACTGTAACTCTTTTGTCTTACAGTTGTGGGAGACCATACATCAGACTGAGCCATGGGGAAGGCTCCATTGACAAGGGAGACAAAATACCATGTTCAGGTATACATTTTTATTTATTTTATTTTTTGCCATTATCTCAAACGCCATACAGCATGGGAGACTGTATTTGTAGCAAATTTGTTTATTAAAAGAGATGTAAACATAATTACAACCCAAACAAATAGAAGTTCCGCATGATTTTTTTTGTACATGTTTAACAAAGAAAACACATCGATATCTGAACATGCACAAATCGTTCGTAATGCACAATGATTCTGTTTTTCTTTAGTTTTCTATACAAAACAAAGCTGTATTTTCTGTTGTCAAATAAAGATAGCTGCAAGGCTGTAATTTGTTTTAATTAAATGGAAACATCCTCACCATCCGGCTTAAGTACTTAATAATGATCTTGTTGTAAAAAACACACAAGTTTCTCTGGTGGGACCCAACACACATTTTGATAAAACTTTTATGTCATAAAAGCAATGTTTTTAAATTAAAGAATGGAGATCAATCAGCAACCCAGAGTGTGTCCAGTGCAGTTCTTTTAAGGGCTAAATTGTAAAATTCATTGTTCTGACAAGCCAAGTACAAAGCAAGGCTATTTCACAGAGAAGTTAAGAGATTATAGGGCAGAGGCATCACTAAGGTGAAGTTAAAAGTGGCAATAAAACCCCTATAAATTTGTCTTCTCCAGTTGAGCTTTTGTTAGGCATGTATTTTTAATTCCCCCCATCTATTTGGGATAAACAGAACCTCATAAACATAAAAAAAGTTTCTGAACAGTTCATAGTAGAAAAAAATGAATATAAAAGCTATTATCTCTAAGGCTTAAATTGAATAGAATCAAATATTTTTTGATAAAGAACTCATCCTCATTTCGGAATGCAGGGTTTTGATATTTTTATATACATATACACATTTTTAAGCATATACTCAAAAACAGATTGTTGGATTTATTTAATAAGTAATAGTAATGAATAAGTGTAAAACAATTTTCACATTTATTTTTAAAGAACATGTGAAAGTTGCTTTATTGTTACTCAACTCACTTATGTGGAAATTGTTGACATAACTTGATTAAGTAAATCCAACACAACTGTTTTTTGACTATAAAAGAAAAATGAGCTCAGTAAGGACTTTGCCTAACTCAATGTTAAATAAATAAAACAATGTAAATCTGTAAAAACTGTGATTCCTGCATACCAATATCGCAGGATTTTTAAAATGACCTACATCACAGAATAAAAAGATGACAAGAAAGAAATTATTTTCTGACTTTTTGTTTTGGTGTGTTACACCAGGATTATCAGTGGCCCCCATCTGGCCCATCTTTAAAAACTTTGGATAAGAGAGATTGACAGTTGCTCCTCCTTTTGGAAATGAAAGTCTGATATATTTTTATTTATTTTTTTAAGCAGAGGACCAAGTGGTTGTATCATCAGACTATGACAGCACCCATGAAGCCAACCACAGTGACAGTAGTGATGTAGCACACACGGAGGAGGACTCTGTGATAGGGAACACCCCTTCCCAGAATGTCATCCTCCATGCACTGATACCTCCTGAGGTAAAAGCCACAAGCAGACTGTCTTCAATCACCACCAGTCTCAGTTACAGGAAAAGTCCATTAACAGGACAGAAACAGAAAACAGATGTTTAATCTCTTTGTCTCTGGAACATGTTGTGGAGGTTTGTGTTTTAATGGTTATTTTTGTGGGTTACATTGCAGGACAAACCTATTCTGGCACCAGAGCCAATAATAATGGAGGACTTGGAGCCATTGATGGACCAGTTAAACAATTGGAACTTCCCGATCTTCACCTTGATGGAGAAAACGAACGGGAAATGTGGAAGGATCCTCAGTCAGGTGAAAATATTAGCCAGGAAGTGTCAACACTTTAGAGATAAACAAATCTATTTTGTTGAAATGCCTGCCATTGACATGACTTTGTGTTTTGTTTTATTTTGGTGGTCAATAAAATACAAGCACATTTTGGTGCGTTTGTCTTTAAATTATGAAAAAATAACCACAGAAATATAAGAAACTTTCATTCTTTCGAGCTCTCGCTTAGAATATGTAATACTCTCAGCTACTACTACACCTGGTTTTAGCTCAATATTTGGTTCATGCCATATTTTGCTAACACAAAAAAAGAAACACACATTCAGATGATGACAGTACACTTTACACGATGGCAGATGATAAAAAAACACAATGTGTTAGTTTTAGTTCAGTTAAAATGTGTTGCCGACAACATCTTTAATTTGATATGACACAGTTTTTTTCTTGTCGCATTACTCGATTACACAAACCTAAAGCTGACTTGAGTATTTCTTCTTAGAAACAGTCAAAGTGAAATACTTTCAAAACACCACAGGCCTGAAAACACAGGCCCATTTATGAACATCAGCATGTTGACAGAATGACTGTTGAATACCAGAAATCTCAGACCTCTGCTGACCGTCCTCCTGTAATGTTGTGGCGAAGAGAAAGAAAGAAGCAGCGTAAAATCAAGATCTATTGATGCTTTCCAAGAAAAAAAAAATAGTTTTTATGTTCCATAGTAAGCTGTAGATTTACCTTTGCTACATGCCATTAAAAGAAAAGTGATTGATATTTTTGAACTAATTCACTGGTGAGTTGAACATTTATTACCAGGATGCATTTCTTTTCCCTCAAATAACTGAATATGGCTTGCAGTCATGCACACAGGTGGGAGTCAAGATATAGGACCTGTGCTGAAATTATAAATTCATGTGAATACGCCAACAAGTGGCCTGCCAAAACTGCCTTTAGTCTTCAGAGGTTCGACAAAAGACGAATGTTAAAGCCTGAAAATGACCTGAAACACATTGCAAAATTACACAAAACAGTCATGATAATGCTAATATATCAACTGATTAGTTTGTCACATGTTTTAAATTTAAATTAGGTGTTTCTCTGAAAAAGAGCAGAACTATTGTGCATAAAAACATGAAGGGTCAAATCTACCCTGTGTTTATAT